CATGGTTTAATACTCATTAAAACCTTAAAGTAATCAAAAAGTAATCAAAAGTAATTAGTTACATTACTTTTTAAAAGTAATCAAAAAAGTTACACTACAATTACATTTTAAACAAGGTAACTTGTAACTGTAACAGATTACATTTTTAAAGTAACTTACCCAACACTGTATATATGTGTATGTATGTACAGACATGGATGGATGGATGGACGGATGGATATATATGTACAGACATGTATATATGTATGTGCCGCTGTTTGTTTATGGAGCCAGTAACAAAAATAATTTCCCTCTGGGGTTATCAAAGTATTTCTGATCCTGATCCCCATCCCTATCCCTGCAGGTGAGCCACTTCCAGCCGGAGCTGGACGCCGAGGCCCCGTCTCTTCCCCCGGAGAAAAGCAGCAAGGACTTCTGCAAGATCCCCCTGGAGGAGCTGATCGTGCCGCGGCCCGACTTCCCGGTGCCGCCCGGCCACCTGCTGTCGGACGGAGAGGTAAGGGAGGTGGTGCAGCAGAGCCTGTCGGTGGGGAACTTCGCCGCGCGGTTGCTGGTTCGACTCTTCCCGGAGCTCTTCACGCAGGACAACCTGCGGCTGCAGTACAACCACTCGGGCGCCTGCAACAAGAAGCAGCTGGACCCGGTGAGGCTGCGGCTCATCCGCCACTACGTGGAGGCCGTGTACCCCGTGGACAAGATGGAGGAGGTGTGGCACTACGAGTGCGTGCCCAGCATCGACGAGCGCTGCCGAAGGCCCAACCGCAAGAAGTGCGACATCCTCAAAAAGGCCAAGAGGTCCAGCACCGTGTCCTAGTCCAGCCGGAGGCGGAGAGAGGAAAAAAAACTAAAAACTGTTCCGAGTAGGGATGGGACGGTTTATTATCGACTGTCTGGGTTCGGTTGGCGTGTGTTTGTTCGGTTCCTGCTGCTCCTTTTTGTCAAAGGGAAGCGTTTACACTCCAGACCAGAAGGGGGCGCTACTGCGCCCAAAGCCAGCCACCAGTAGGAAACAAGAAGAAGGAGAAGAAGCAGCGTAGCCGATAATAAAAATCAGACCGCCAGCAGCAGTTTCTAGGTCTGCTGTATGGACCAGTTTGCATTTAGAGGGAAGCACATGTTGGAATTAGCACTGTTTCCTCTCTGGCAGAATCTCACCTACTTTTAACCTCAGACTGTCACAAT